TTGAACTCCTGACCTGAAGTGATCCTCCTGCCTTGGCCTCTCATAGTGCTAGGATTATAGGAGTGAGCCACTGTGCCCAGCCTAAGAAGGAATAATTTCTGATGCTGAAAATAATTCAGCAAGAGCTAGCCAGAAGCTAGCCAACTGCACCAATAAACTATGCTTGCAGTTAATCACAAATTCTTTCAATGGCTATAGAGCAATCCAAGATTACACTCTTTTGGTTAAAATTATGGCCATAAAAGAACATTTTCTGAAAATCCATGAGAGTGAAGAAGAACTATGATGCATCTAATCAAAATATCATTTCTAATCATCTCAGGAACATATAATTTTGTTTTTGTGCAGCATATTAACTATTTTCATGACATTTTGCCAAGGCACATATTAATTTTAAATAATTATTTGCATGCCAAAGTTTTTAATAACTTATTGGGTAACACAAGGAAAAAAATGTTGGTATTGTTTATTTATATAAGAATACTTACCTGGTTTCATAAAGGATTTAAGATGATTAACAGGAAGATAAACATTAGCTTACAGTAATTGTACTATTCACAAAAGATAAACAGCTGAATTTCCGTTTTTCAGAGTCAAATTTCATCTTTTATAGTTTTCTACTCATTTAACCCCACCCCTTTGCTATATACAGCTTGTATTCTCGGCTTCCCCCAATTCTGTTCCCTGTTTTGAGCACCTGCATTACAAAGCGAGGAGGCAGGCCGTGGGGAAACACAGTCTTCAAATCCTGGAGGGGGATGTTGTAGTGCTGACCCTCGTGCTGTTCCCCATGCTTAGCCTAGGAAATAAAAGTGCAAACAGGTACAGCAGGTACACAAAGTGACCAAGACTTTGAAAAGTGAATAGGGCTTGCTAGACCACACTCATTTCTTAGCTGGAAAAGATATCTTTCATTTTTTATCTAGACAAAAAAGCTGGTTGCTGTTCCCAAATCCAGTGTGTCTATAGAGGTAGTGGCCTAAATGAAATTGGTTGCTCAGTCAAGTAAACCCTAGATATGGGGATAGCAGAGACAATTTCTGCCATCTGGATTCTTCTGTGCTGTGTATAGAGATGCTCCAGTCACGTGACAAGATCATCTGCATGCTGCTGTTTCCATAGAAACCCCAGAGGAATTGGCAGATAAAGGGACTACAATTACAGAGAAAGCTGGAAGACACTTCAGGGACTTCATTCATTTATTCTATTTCATTCTGTGCTTGTGAAAATAGGTAAATGCTAAAGACATATTTAAAATACACCCTGCTGAGATAGTGTTTTGGGTAATGGATATTTTTTTTCCCCTCCACATGGCCTGTGTTAAGATGGGAAGACTCAGAGGGGAGGGGCAGGGACAAAAAAAAACTGTTGGTTCCCTTCACATGAAAGCACAGACCACACATCTAATTTCATTTATGAGAAGCAGGAACAATGCTGGGGAAGGAGAAAAGAATTCAATATCCAGCCTACTGGGACCTGAACTAGAAAATGCAACATAAGATACTGCTGGAATCTTGGCTTCTGTGGACAAACCTCACTTCAAATGCCGCTTTTCTCATATCACATCAAGTTATTTCCCTCTTCAGACACTAGGAAATCTATTTACAAAGGTAGAAAACAGTAGCAAATTGCTTATTAGAAAAACTGCATTCTATACCTGCCCTGCTGTGTGATCTTGGGCAAGTAATTTGATTTCTTTAGGATTTGCCATACCAGAAATTGGTATGGCTGGCTGGTCACCTGTTTTGTAAATAAAATTTTATTGGAACAAAGCCACACACCCATTTATTTATGGCAGAGTTGAGTACCCGTGACAGAGGCCATTACAGCCCATCAGCCTAAAATATTTACTAACTGGTCCTTTAAGGAAAATTTTGTCACCCAGCATATCTATTCTATGCTCAGGAAAATCTGTGGCACTGGGTGAGTTCACTAGTAGGGACTAAATCAGAACAGATGTGGACTGCCCTGAGTACTTTATAGTTACCACAGCATCAGACAGGGAAGATCCGGGTTCCAGAGTGCTATCTCAGGTGCATTGTCTATCTGACTATACATATGTAAATCTGCTTAGCTTCTTTAAGTTTCAGTTTTCCTGATATGTAAAATGAGGATAGCGCACACATTGTAAGCCCTGAGAAACTCCATACACACATTAGCTACTCACCGGGTCACTCTCACTGGTGCGGGAAATAGCTCTGTGACTCTCCACTGAAACTTGGTTATCTAGGTGAGCAGCAATGCTTTGGGGTGCCTGGGTCCCCGTATGCAAAAAACATCCAGGGTCCAGCTATAAAAGAAACCATTTTAGTATTTTAGAATTATTAGGCTTTCTACGCTTGCTGTAACACTGAGGATGTGTGAGTCATGTCTGCAACAGGGAAAAATGTCACTAACATACATTTTAGTTCTATGTAAGAAGGATCTTTGTTATTATTTATAATTCACTATGTCCAATGACATTATGCATTCTGTCTATCTGTTCCAGCCTGCGTACTGCCTTATCAGGGCCCTGTCCCATATGGAAACAAACAATTCTGTTAGAGATTGTTCAGGAGCATACATAGTACAGCCATTAACAATCTAAAGTGGGAAAATTCTTTAAATGCACTTGCCCAGTGATGAATGGCTACCAATATTGTGTACTTCTCAGCTGTTGGTCACCTCAGTTATCAGGGGATTAGTGCAATGTTCCTCACTATTTGATAGCTATAATTACAAGCCCTGTAACAATTTTCTTGCTGGCTGTGCCCTAGAATAAAGTATTTTTCATTAGAGACATGTAATGAGGGAGGGAGTATGTAAAGCATCTAGCTAAGTCAAAGTAAACTGCTCTATAGGCAACTCAGTGAATTGTCTAGCAAAACCTCTGAACCAGGTGGGAGGGGAAGAATGAGATTTCAGGAGACAAATCTGAGAAAATGTTAAGTGAAGAACCTCAAAATTGAACTTAAGAATAACAGGCCTTATGTAGAAAGTGAAAAGATGCCAGTTATGAGGAAAAGATTAGGGTATGAAGCCAGGAAAAGCAAGGGAACAGGGATATAAGAAACGGATGTAATAAGAGAGTTGCTTAATAAATCAATAGGTAATATGAAAGCTACTTGTATTTACATTTAGTCTCACCAAGCAGCTTCTTGAGTGCAGAAAATGTATATAATTTTTATACCACCCTGTCTTTTTTTTTTTTGACACAGAGTTATGCTCTGTTGCCTGGGCTAGAGTGCTATGGCATCAGCCTAGCTCACAGCAACCTCAAACTCCTGGGCTCAGGCAATCCTCCTGCCTCAGCTTCCCTAGTAAATAGGACTATAGGTGCAGACCACCACGCCTGGCTAATTTTTTTCTATTTTTGGTATAGACAGGGTCTCGCTCTTGCTCAGGCTGGCTTCGAACTGCTGAGCTCAAGCGATCCTCCCAGAGTGCTAGGATTACAGGTGTGAGCCACTGAGCCTGGCCTGTACCATATCTTCTAACACTTATACCCATTTTATTAAAAGACTTTAAACTCCATATGTAAATTCTATCTCCAACAGTCCATTACCACTACACAGGTTGAGAGAGGCTATCATAACAATTCTATAAAGATTTATCTCTAAATCTTTGATTCTTCATCTTTCATTGTCTTTTGTCCTCCCAAATGACAGGCTCAACCTTCACCTAATCAAAAAGTTTGGATGGAGCCAGGCATGAGGGCACACTCCTGTAGTCCCAGCTACTCCAGAGGTAGGAAGATCACTTGAACCCAGGAGTTTGAGGCCAGCCTAGGCAATATACTGAGACACTAGCTCTTAAAAACAAAATGAGAAAAGAAAAAAAGCTTGGATGGTTCCCTACTAATGTCAAAATAAGTCTCAAATTCCTTAGCCTGACAATTGAGACCACTGTGAAGTCAATCTACCTTTCTAGGCTCTTCCTTCATAAGCTCTATATTCCAGCCATATGACCATGCTAAAACATGTCATTCACTTTTATGCCTCCATACCTCTGCTCATTCTACTTCAAACTCCCTCTTTCCCTACTTAAATTTTACCCACTCACCAAGGTTTATCTCAAATATCACATTCTGAGTGAAGATTTGCCAGACACCTCCAGTCAAAAGTAATTATCTTTCCTTCTCTGCTAATAGCACGTTCTTTGTATTGCATGGCAGTTTTACTCTGCCTTGAATTGCAACCACGGCTATGTTAACTGAGTATCTATTAGATGCTAGGTAGGCAATATGGTTTTTACATATACTATTTTTGAGCCTAGAATCCTAGAAGGTAGGTAGACATCACCCTTGTTTTATGATGGGGAAAACAAGGTTCAGGGAAGTTAAGTAATTTTGATTGAGGTCACTATACTGGTAGGTGATAGAACCAGAATTCACATCCAAGTTGGTCTGACTCCAAAATGTATTTTTTTAAAGATTATATCATATTAGGGTATACACGTTTGTTTCCCACTCTAGGCCACATACTAGGAAGAGAAGGAGTCAGATTTTATTTATCTTTGTATCTATCTCCATCTCCAAGTACCTAGTACCTGGAATAAAGAATCTTTCATTAAAGACACATAATTAGGGAGTATGTAAAGCATCCACTAAGGAAAGTAAACTGATCTATAAGCAGCTTAGTGAACTATACACAGAAATCTCTGAACCATTACTTGTACATTTTAATATAAAGTAACAGTGTAAAGTAATAGAGTTGGTCTAGCTTTGGCTGAGAACTGTATGATATAAATTAATTCTATAGGAGAGACAGCAATTCTCAGCAAATATCCACATACTTTTCTATATTTCTTAGTCTCCCTTGTAGAAAGAAAGTAATGTGATTACTTCTGGCTAAAGAGCTGTGAGTGGAAATAATTTGTGTCATTTCTCGTCAGACCCAGTTAAGAGTGGGTATAAATTCTCTCGTTTCTTCCCTTGCTGTGGCAAGCTTAAAAGCTACATGTTGAGATGTATCTCAAGAAGGTAAACCTTTATTTCTGCATCCAGCCCCCAATCTTGCCTGCAAAGCCTTTTTGGAACAGCAAAAACAAAGCAAAACATATATCCACAACCCAAACAATACCCTTTGTTGTGTTAAGCCATTGAGAATTCAGGGGTTGTTACCTCAGCATAGCAATCTGAAGAACACACCTTAGTACTACTATTGCTACTCAATTTTATCTAATGGGGAGAAAGTACCACGTCTCTTTAAAAAGTCAAGTGGAAACAAAAACATTCAAGGGCCACCAGGTGGTGCTATTTCTACAGTAATTTGATGACTTTTTACTTAGACTATATATATAAATATACATTTTTTTTTTTTTTTTGAGTCAGAATCTCACTGTGTTTCCCGGGCTAGAGTGCCGTGGCGTCATCCTAGCTCACAGCAACCTCAAACTCCTGGGCTCAAGCAATCCTCCTGAGTAGCTGGGACTACAGGCATGCGCCACCATGCCCGGCAATTTTTTTCTATGTATTTTTAGTTGTCCGATTAATTTCTTTCTATTTTTAGTAGAGACGGGGTCTCGCTCTTGCTCAGGCTGGTCTCAAACTACTGAGCTCAAACAATCCGCCCGCCTCGGCCTCCTAGAGAGCTAGGATTACAGGCGTGAGCCACCACGCCCGGCCTACATATTTTTTTTAAGAGACGGGGTCTTGCTCTGTTGCTCATGCTGGAGTACAGTGGCAAAATCATAGCTGACTGCAACCTCAAATTCCCCGGCCCAGGCAATCTTCCCACCTCAGCCTCCCAAGTAGCTAGGACTACAGGCACATGCCACCACCATGCCTGGCTAATTTTTTTTTCTTTTTTGATGTATGTATGTATGATTTATCTATCTATCTATTTATCTATTTAGAGACAGAGTCTCACTGTGTAGCCCTGGCTAGAGTACAGTGGTGTCATCATAGTTCACCACAATCTCGAACCCCTGGGCTCAAGCAATCCTCCTGTCTCAGCCTCCTGAGCATCTGGAACTATAGGCGTGTGCTGCCATGTCCAACTAATTTTTTCTATTTTTAGTAGGGATGGGGTCTCGCTCTTACTCAGGCTGGTCTTGACTTCCTCACCTCAAGTGATCCACCTCAGCCTCCTAGGGTGCTAGGATTATAGGCGTGAGCCACCACGCCTGGACAATTTTTAAAGTTTTTGTAGAGATAAGGTCTCATTATGTTGCCCCAGCTGGTCTCAAACTCCTCGTCTCAAGAGACCTCCTGCCTCAGCCTCCTGAGTAGGTTGGATTACAAGTGCATACAACTGTGTCTGATTTAGCTATTCCCCCACCCCCCACCTGTGTGTGTGTGTGTGCGAGAGAGAGAGAGAGAGAGAGAGAGAGAGAGAGAGAGAGAGAGAGAGAGAGACGGGGTCTTGCTCTGTTGCCTGGGCTACAGTGCAGTGGTGTGATCATAGCTCACTGCAACCTCAAACTTCTGGGCTATTTTTTAAATTTTTTGTAGAGATAGGGTCTCACTATGTTGCCCAGACTGGTCTCAAACTCCTGGTCTCAAGTGATCCTCCCACCTGAGCTTCCTAAAGTGCTAGGATTACAGGCATGAGCCACCACACACCCAGCCAGTTATACTTTTTTTGTTTGTGTTGTTTATTTTTATTTTTTTATTTTTTGAGACAGAGTCTTGCTCTGTCACCCAGGTTAGAGTGCCATGGCACCAGCCTAGCTCATAGCAGCAACCTCAAAGTCCTACCCTCAAACGATCCTCTTGCCTCAGCCTCCCGAGTAGCTGGGACTACAGGGGCAGACCACCATGCCAGGCTAATTTTTTTCTATTTTTAGTAGAGATGGGGTCTTGCTCTTGCCCAGGCTGATCTTGACCTCCTGAGCTCAAGCGATCATCCTGCCTCTGCCTCCCAAAGTGCTAGGATTATAAGTGTGAGCTACTGCGCCCGGCCTCATTTTCAATTTTTTAAATTTTTTTTATTTTTTAGGCTAGTTAAGTGAAGCAGTTGGAGTGGAGAAGGAACAAAGTAATCTATAACTGGTTGTGATCAGTTTGTTCTAAATACCACTGCACTCAGACCAGCCAGTTATATTTTTTTTGAAGCAAATTAAAAGCTGGCAAAATGGAATCCTTACTTCTTAGAGAGTTATATATGGCATCACCCAGCTAGTCTCTTATTTCCAGGGAAAACAACCATATGTACAACTGCCTCTGCACAGTTCCAGAAAGAACATCATGAGGTTCCTGAAAGAATAGCATTCATGGGCCAATCTAGAAGGTCAAACTGAACAAAACTAAAACAGCCACAAAAACTCCTCTCAAAAACATATTTCTACAGTCTTGCCTCAGGTCCTTGTCATCTGGTATTAAAGAAAAAGGAAATTTTAACCTTGTAATATAATCATTTGAGGCCAGAATCCACCCCCCTTTTGTGATTCCTGCTTTTATTCATTTTATATAAAAATAATGCGTTATCTTATGTACATAGGCTTTTCATGAACCCCTGGGGGGAGGAGGACACCAAACAGGAGGAAGTGCTCTTTTCCTATGAAATCTAATCAGTAATTAAATAATCAGATGAAAGTAACCAAGTCTTTCTGGCTCAGTTCTCATCCTTCAGGATTTAGCTCTGGGAAGATTTCTTATGGACTTAACTATTCCAGGTTAGGTGCTCCTCTAAGGGGTGCTGTAATAGCACCATACTTTAACAGTCATTTATTCATGATTCCACTACTGGACTGTGAAGTTCTGGAGAACATGGATCATGAAATGCAATATAGTACAGTGGTTAGGCCACAGCCTTTTTTTTTTTTTTTTGAGACATAGTCTCATTCTGTTTCCCTGGCTGGAGTGCAGTGGCATCATCAGAGCTCACAGCAACCTCAAACTTCTGGGCTCAGCGATGCTTCTACAGGCACGTGCCACCACACCTGGCTAATTTTTCTTTTTAGTAGAGATGGGGTCTCGCTCTTGCTCAGGCTGGTCTCAAACTCCTCACCTCAAGCAATCCTCCCCACCTCAGCCTCCCAGAGTGCTAGGATTTCAGGAGCGAGCCACTGCACCTGGCCAGGCCACAGGCTTTGAAGTCATACAGACCTGGCATCTAGTCTGGGCTTTGCAACTTCACAGCCTGTTTCCTTAGGTAAATTACCTAGCCATTCTAATCTTAAATTTCTGCATCTGTGAAACAAGGATATTATCTATTTCATGTGTTGATCATGAGGATTATTATAAAAGAAAGCATTTAGCACAGTACCTGCCACATAATGAATGTCTGAAAAATAATTACTATAATTAGTGAAATGAGTCATCTTAGAATGGTGAATACCTACCATATGGAAGGTACTGAAAATCTATTTGGTAAAAAAAAAGAAAAAATGAAGTAAACCAACAGAATGGTCTTTTTCATATACAATTTTATTATTTTATTTTATTATCAGATGCTAAAAGTCTAAATTAGCAACTTATTTTTCTTTTAAATAATTCATTAAGGAAAAATAATCATTAATCCAACTAGAGAAATAATAAAAGTTAATAAAGATAACTGCAGTCAAACTTATTTATATTTTTTGGAAAAATGTTAATTTTCTTTTCACATGGAAATTCTTAAGCACAATAGAGACCTGTTAGTTAAAGATTTTTAGTTCTGTGTGACTGGTACACACAGAAATAAAAAAATAAAAATAAATGAAGATTTTTAGGGTAGTTGGGAGTGAAGTACATGGGTAGAGAAACGGAATTGTGACTGTTCTTTTCAGTGTAAATTTGTAAAATAAAGCACTAGTCAGCTGAAGTTCTCCAGAGCATTTAATTCTAGAAAGAATAAAATCCATCTAAAACCAAGAAATTCACCTAAAGGCAGTTTGCATAAAAGTCAGTTTGGACTCACCTTATGGACCCTGGAGATAAGCCTTGGTACTCCTTTCAGCATAGTCCTTGCACTCTTAAAAAAAAAGAGAGAGAAAGTAAGCCACAAATGGGAAAAGATATTTGCAGCATGTAAAACTGATAATGGATTAATATCCAGAACATATAAAGAATGCCTACAAACTGACAAAAAACAATGAACAAAAGACATGAACAGGCATTTCACAGAAAAGGAAACACAACTGCCTAATAAACTCATGAAAAGATTTTCCACCTCATCACAAATCAGGGAAATACAAATTAAAACCATGACAATGAGATACAATTCACAAGTATTATATTGGGAAAAAGTAAAAAATGAGACAATAGCAAATGTTAAAGAGGCTATGAAACATTGGAAACTTTCATACACTGTGAATGGGAGTGTAAATACAATTATCTTAGAAAACAAATTTGGCATTATCTTTGCAAAGTTGAATGTATAAGCCTATGACTCAGATAGTCTACTCCTTGGTAGACTCTTTATTCTAGAAAAACACTTATACATGTATACTGGGAAATATATATCAGAATGTTCATAATAGTAGAGTATGAATGATCAAAAAACTAACAAGAGCCCAAATGTCAACTGACAGAACAGTAGATAGAGATATAGTCATAGAATGGAATAAAGCAATAAAAAAGAATAAACCACTGTTGCATGCATCAACATGGATCAATCTAAAAATTAACACTGAATGAAAAGTATTACATCTAGTATCATATAACTCATATAAAAGTCAAAACAAAAAAACTTCATTATTTTGAGGATACACATATATATGTAGTAAAACTCAAACAAAAAGGCAAGAGAATGGTAAGAACAACATTTAGAATAATAGTCACTCTTAGGGAGGAAGGAAACGGAAAAGACTGGGGTAGAGCACACAAAGAAATTCATAATGATCTATTTCTAACACCAGATAATGGATACATGAGTATTTGTTTTATTATTTTTATACCACATGTGTTATATTCATTCTTTTGTATGTTAGAAATATTTAATTTAAAAACTTGAAACTTTTGGGAGCTAAAAGAAGTTTAAAACACTTAAATGCAACTCTCAATATCTAGTAGTGACAGAATAACTAAATTAAATCTCTAGGTAATTAATTACTTCATTTTGGCTACCCCACTCACTTTTCTTACAAGTGAAATCTTTAAAGCAACAACAGTTAACAACAACAGAATTACACACATTTAACCTAACAGTTACTGAGTAACTACTGTGTGCTAGGCCCTGGGAATACAATGGTGAACAAACTGTTATAGTCCAAGACCTAATGGAACTTATAGTACAGTCAAGAGAATCACATAAACTCCTTTGAAATTCATCTCCTTTTAGTTTTCAGGTTTGCTTTTTAATAAAGACACCAAATGCATTTCTTAATTCAGTCATTCAAGAAATATGTGATGTGCTTCATATGCCCACACTACAGAGTATACAGTGGTGAACAAGATTGGAATAGTCTCTACCAGCCTGCCTCCCTTTTACCTATGGAATTCCAGGGCTTCTTTGCTGGAGTGCAATGCTACTCCAATAAATAGTATCTGACCTGCCCAACCCTCCTCCCCAGATCTTCCCAATGCTCCCTGGCACAACCACTACTGTTGAAGAGCTATGGGCTCTGGAGGGAGACTGGGTCTTGGAAAGACTGGGTGACATGGTCTAGAGGCTCCTTCTTCCCATAGGTCTACCTGTGGATACTGGGGTTATTATTCTATGTTACAGACAGCATGGGAAGTGCCAGTCAGGAAAATGTAATAAGCTTTCCATTTTAGAACACTATCATCCTAGACCCAAATTACAACAAACGATCTACCAGCCTTTAGCCTTGAACACCTCTAATCCATTTTTTCCAATGAAGCCTTGCTTAAAATTCTTCTGTATTTCCTCAGTACTTTTTAAGGTAAAAGACACGTATATCTCTATATATCTCCTATATAAGAATAACAAGATAATTTTAAAAGGGGTGGGCTGAGGGAAGGGAGGAATTTCAAAGGTCTGATCCCAAGGCAGATAACCTAGACCAAACCACATTTTCAATGGCATTTAAAATACCTATAAGCAGGCCGGGCGCGGTGGCTCACTCCTGTAATCCTACCACTCTGGGAAGCCGAGGCGGGAGGATTGCTTGAGCTCAGGAGTTCGAGACCAGCCTGAGCAAGGGTGAGATCCTATCTCTACTAAAAATGGAAAGAAATTAGCTGGGCGACTAATAATAGAAAAAATTAGCTGGGCATGGTGGCGTGTGCCTGTAGTCCCAGCTACCCGGGAGGCTGAGGCAAGAGGATCGTTTAAACCCAGGAATTTGAGGTTGCTGTGAGCTAGGATGATGCCACAGCACTCTAGCCTGGGCAACACGGTGAGACTCTGTCTCAAAACAACAACAACAACAAAAAAACCAAAAAACCCCTAATGTTTAAAATACCTATAAGCAGAAAAAAAATCTATTGATAACCCAAATGAATGCAAAAGTGAGAAATGTTCATTTTATTTTCCAGGCCATATACATATCAGAGCTCTACAAGATAAAGGTCAAAAGCCACTAATACCATGAAAATTTGGTATAGATTCTGCTTTCAGTCTTTTCATGTCCTTTGAATACTTCTCTGCAGAGCACAAGTTTACTTATAACTGGAAGGTAGGTAAGGGACAGGTTTCCTATGAAAAATGACTGACGGTAAAAATAAAAGGTGAATGATAATTATCTCAAGGCAGGTAGGAAGAAAAAATGAAAAAAATTCTCAAAGACATCATTAAAATACTTCTCCAATATTGTTCAATTGCCAACATTCTAAGGTTTTCCCCATTATATACTGACTTCCACTACTCTAAGATAGAAGAGTTCTACTTCTTCTACCTTTCCTTATTCTTTATTTAAAACATAGATAAAACAAACAAATCCCAGTGACAAATAATTTCCTTAGTCTTTAAACCATTTGAGGCTTTTCCAAATGCATTTGGAAAGGACATTTACTCACTATAGTATTTAAAACTCTGCCATTATTCTGATGAAACTTTTACACTAGTGTTAGAGCATTAGAGCTCTCTTAAAAAAAATGTATTCTTAGGCCGGGCGCGGTGGCTCACGCCTGTTGTAATCCTAGCACTCTGGGAGGCCGAGGGGGGTGGATCCTTCTGAGCTCACGAGTTCGAGACCGGCCTGAGCAAGAGCGAGACCCTGTCTCTACCAAAAAATGGAAAGAAATTAACTGGACGGCTAAAAATATATGTAGAAAAAAGTAGCCGGGCATGGTGGCGTGTGCCTGTGGTCCCAGCTACTCGGGAGGCTGAGACAGTAGGATTGCTTGAGCCCAGGAGTTTGAGGTTACTGTGAGCTAGGCTGACGCCACGGCACTCGCCCCAGGCAAGAGAGTGAGACTCTGTCTCAAAAAAAAAAAATGTATTCTTGCCTAGACAGGCCAAATGTAACCTGAGAAGGATGTCAGAAAAAGCCTGAACCAAATTTAGAACGGTATCCCAGACACTATATGCTAAAACTTCAGTGGTCATAAGAAATATAGGTTCCTTTTTTAATCCTTTTTAAACAACTAAACTTTTAATTTTGAGATGATTGTAGATTCACATTCACTTAAAGAAATAATTCATGTTCTATGTACCCTTTATGCAGTTTCCCCCAGTGGTAACATCTTGCAAAACTAAGAATATAGTACAATATCACAACCAGGATTTGAAAATGATACAGTCAAAATACAGAACAGCTGGGTGGGCTAGCTCATGCCTGTAATCCTAGCACTCTGGGAGGCCGAGGCAGGAAGATCGCTTAAGGTTACGAGTTCGAGACCAACCAGAGCAAGAGCAAGACACCTGTCTCTATTAAAAATAGAAAAATTTGCCTGGGTGTGGTGGTGTGTGCCTGTAGTCCCAGCTACTCAGGAGGCTGAGGCAGGAGGATCGCTTGAGCCCAGGAGTTTGAGGTTGCTGTGAGCTAGGCTGACACCATGGCACTCTAGCCCACGTAACAGAGCAAGACCCTGTCTCATAAAAAACAAAAACCAAAAACCAAAAAAACCCTCCAAAACTCCAGAACATCTGTATTAACTCAAGGATCCTTCATGTTTCCCTTTTATAGCTTCCCTCACTTTTGCTCCCCCATTTCTTAATTCCTAATAGCCACTAATTTGTTTTCCATTCCTATAATTTTATCATTTAAAGAATGTTATACAAATGAAAGCATACTGTATATAACCTTTTGAAGGTTATATACATTGAAGGCTTCCTTCGCTCATCATAATTTCCTAGAGATTAATCCGAGTTGCATGTATCAACAGTTTATTCCCTTAATTGCTGAGTACTATTCCATGGTATTATGCTACAATTTGTTTAACCACTCATCCACTGAAGGACATCAGGGTTATTTCCAGTTTTTGGCTATTATGAATAAGAAAATATGAACATTTATGTACATATTTTTGTGTGAAGAGAATCACAGATTCTTAAGATTAAGCTGACTTTGTCTAAGAATTGAATTAATTCAGAACTAAATTAGTGCTACATTGATCTTAACATTAATCACTGAGTATTTTTCAGAAATAGGCTCTATAATAAAAAATTTATAGGAATTATCTCACAACAATCATTATTATTCCCAGGTAAAAATAAGTATGGCTAGATTAAATAACTCCAAGGGTATATAGCCTGAAATGGGGCAGTCTTCGAACTGAAGTTTATATTTGACTCTAAAGCCTTTTCCATTAGCCACTGTCTCTGCTATAATGTCAATCATCAGATGCCTAAACATTTCCAGTGATGGGAACTCACAGGCAGTCGATAGGATTTTCAAACAGCTTTTACTAAAAATTTTTCAGTAGTTTGAGGTAAAATTGTCTCTTTGTAGCTTCCATTTACTGTTCCAGTCTTTCTCTTTGGTTTTACAAGTCATCGTCCACATGACAACTTTTCAAATATTGAAGGTAATCATGCCCTTTGTTTTTTTTTTGCTGGGTAAATGTCTCCAGTTTTTTAAAGCAATTTTCATGCAATAGAAGTCCCTTTTCTATATTACCTCGATA